CAGAGGTCAGATCTCAGACGAGCAAGATGTTCAAAAGGTAAAGAATCTGCTCTCGCTCAAAACGGAACCTTGTCGTGGCGAGTGCGGGTGTAGTAGGTGTTCAACTGCGAAGATTACATAAATCTGAGCGACAGGCGTTCAGTCGGGTCACCGCTAGAAAATGCCGCAAGTCAGCTATGAGCTTGAGCCGTTCTTCACAACATTTTGACGTATCTGTGCGTTCCTTTGACGCACATGGGTAACCATTCGAGCTCTTTGTTACTTCGAAATTTCACTAGGTTTCTCTGAAAACACATTTAAGGTGAATCTTCAGCGGAGCGTAGTGAGACATTTTTTCGCGCAGGGGGCACCACCGCTGTGTTTTGATTTTCGGTTTACGCCATTGGAGTCCATACAGCACTAAGTGTTTTGGGCGAGCAAAATATGCGAGTGTAGGAGGGAAATTGCGAAAAAGAGGGGGCTTGGGCGAGTAGAAAATACTGTGGAGTTGGACCGCTAAATTTTGGTGCGGAGTGTGAATTGCGCTCTATAATTATGACTATGTCGGCTCAAATTTAGATTGATTCACAGTTAAGATGTTGTGTGTGCTGCATATTTTTCAAAATGATGCATATTTGACGAAATTTGTTTGAGAACGGGCGGGATAAAGTGAAGGCATATGAACAATTTCGTCATTGAGTGAGAGTTACACTGAAAGTTCGGTTACCTTAATTTTCTTCTGTACCAACTGATTTTAAAGTAAACACGGTCAATTCTGCAGTTTCCTAGCTAATAAAAGTTATTTCTTACGTTTTACATAGCTTTCAACCATTTCTGAGCCAATTTTTTGCGATAAGCGATAGATACAGCAGTTCACTTGCTAATGGCGCTCCGTGAAAGTTTGGACCCACGCGGAGAGGAGGTGAGTTCGGAAAAATCCACTTTTCTAGAGTTATATTAAGGCAAATTTAAAAATCTATAGCAGGTTATTAAGCTGAAAATAGCGACTTGTCGACTTTTTGTCATGGGAACGGAGTTCCCCATGATATTAGAATCGTTCCGTTGCTTTCGCTATGGGATTCCCTATACCTCTGCGACCTTGAGCGTTTCGCCCAGTCTCCGATTTTTGGTTGATTTTCCGATGTATCAAAAACCGTTGTATTTTTTAGCCAATCATGTCTCTACGTCAAGTTGTGTTGATTTCTAAAATTCGCTTTTTTCCACCTTGAGATGTCGTGTCTGACTGGTAAATCTGCGCAGAACCACGAAGTTCCGTTTTTAGACAAATTCTTTTTTTTGGGAGGTTCCGATTGGGTTTCCGATTGGGAGGTTCCTTTGTCTAGCAATTGCAATAATCAGCCCGCGACATATGCGCTGATCAAGAGGGTACAGACCGCCGAAAAAATCAATGATAACAGGAAGTCTGCGACGTCGCAAACAGGGGAGGCTTTCATCCTCGCAAACTTTTGCGAGCATTATCATCCTCGCACACATTCCAAATTTCACGCTCGCAGACTTATACTTTGCCACACATTTACATGTGCATGAAATTGCAACACTGTATAAAATATGATGGAAATGATATGTGTTACTCACCAGTCGTCATTTTTCAAATCAAGTCATTGTCATTTTCTTCGTCAATGTTATCAGGATAGGTTGCTTTTTCGAAGCTGAGCATACGTTTTTCTTTTCCTATTCTTCGCAAGAATTGCAAAGTTGTTATATACCTGTAGGTGTAGTAAGTAGGTGTAGAGATACGTGGTTTCGCTCTTTTGGCATCACTTGCCGTTGGTTAGTCTATTACCTACCTCCTATGTCCCTTGCAACCACCCGCTTCCGCTCTTTGTCTATCGCTTTGTCTATCAATGGAGATGTTGCATGTGTGAGGGATTTGCGATTTGACCATTCATTCTTATGTAAAAGTTCGCGAGAAACACGATGGTGCCACTGGTTTTCTCTGAAATCAACTCCCAAGCTCAAAAAAAGCTCTCAAGTTGAGGCAAAAATGAAGGGGATATCCCACGCCCTGAGAGTCCACCTCCACATCAAAACAAATTCTCCGTGCAAAGATAGGGTGCAAATACATTAGCAGGGTTGCCACTTTATTTGGGGACTCCACAACTGAAAACACGGCAACCCTGCTAATGTATTTGCTCCCTATCTTTGCATGATGGAGAGTTTGTCTTGATGTTGGTGTGAACTCTCAGGATAGCGTGGGATATCCCTTCCATTTTAGCCTCACTTTGAGAGCTTTTTTTGAGCTTGGGAGGTGATTTCAGAGAAAACCAGTGGCACCATCGTGCTTCTCGCGAACTTTTATCTCTCAGGGTAGGGTGGGATACCCCCTCCATTTTGGTCTCAACTTGAGAGCTTTTTTTGAGCTTGGGAGTTGATTTCGGAGAAAACCAGTGGCACCATCGTATTTCTCGCGAACTGTTACATAAGAATCAAGAGTCAAATCGCAAATTCCTCATACGTGCAACATCTCCATTTCCGGAAAGTCCGGAAATAGTACTGATTTTTTAAGGGTGGTCCTGATGTTCTAAAAAAGCGTGGAAATTCCGTAAGAGGTTCGGACTTTTTGGCATGGGAACGGAGTTCCCCTGTCTTTACAATCGTTCCGTTGCTATTGCTATGTGATTCCCTATGCCTCTGCGACCTTGAGCGTTTCGCCCAGTCTTCGATTTTTGGTTGATTTTCCGATGTATCAAAAACCGTTGTATTTTTTAGCCAATCATGTCTCTACGTCAAGTTGTGTTGATTTCTAAAATTCGCTTTCAGCGAGTTTTTTTCCACCTTGAGATGTCGTGTCTGACTGGTAAATCTGCGCAGAACCACAAAGTTCCGATTTTGGGCAAATTCTTTTTTTTTTGGGAGGTTCCGATTGGTTATTTTTCGCCATCAGTTTTCTGTTCGTTGGTGCAAAAGATCGCCTACCTCGTTGCTCTTGAGAAGCCGCCATTATCCCACCTCAAATTTGAAAAATAGAAGTAAAGAAATAATAACCATCGTACAAGGTGGAAAATTGCTCTGGAGGACCCGTTACGGATATATGAGCCAAAATCAGAACTCGATTGGTGGATTTAATCCATGAAAACAGAAATATTGCCTCAGCTTACTGCCGCGATCGCAAATGCATGCTGAGATGAACCTTGTGACACATGACAGCATAGGTAAACAATGTCTCACAGAGTAATGCGCTTAGTCCGTTGTCTTGTATCACGCCAGTGGCCGAACCGTTGAAATCTCAAGGACGTCTTTTGTGAAGCCCCGCTCAGCGTCCGAGATCACTTGACTGTTCTCTTTTTCTACTGACGTATCCGAGCGGCGAGATAGCTCAGTCAGCTACGACACCATTCTGACTCTGGGAGTGTGTCACTTTTTGTGCGAGCGGGGATTCGAATCTCGTAGGTGACAGCTAATTTTTACTGGTTGTATTGAATGTTTTAGACCAATCATCTAACAATAATTAATACTTGGCAACTTAGGAAGCACATAGGTCCCTTATGACGCGTATTCGGGCATATGTGTAGAGTAAAAATATCATACGTAGGGTGTCCCAAAAGTACCGGGAC